ACTACCGCCCCCAAGTCAAATAATTAGGAACTTGTTAGTGAATTCAAAAAAAGTGTGCAATGTAAATTTTCCAAGACTCCACAAAGAATTAATCATTTACAGATAAATGGAGAACTTAGACTGAATATATTGTTTTATTCTAGATATGCTGAAATTCTTGCTCAGCTCCTTTCATACCTAATTTCTTAAGGATCAATCTAAAGTTTCATGCACCCACATATCATCCCTTTGTTTCCATCTACACTTTTTCCTCAGACCCCAACATTTGTACATATGAACATGCTGAAGCTGTTTACTGTTTTCGCTAATCAGAAAAATCCATTTTGGATGCAATCCATATTTTGATATTGTAATCAAGCAGTGGTAAAGAAAGTCAATTCATAATTCTGCCAATCAAAGAGTAGCATTGGGCAGACGAGGGAGAAGGAGGAGAGACAAGATGGCTGCCTGAGAACTCTTGCCACCATACACTTTATAATGGAGAGGCTGAATAAAGAGATCAAAGGCCAGGAATCAAATAAAAAGGCAAAGTAAAAGATAGACAGGCCACCAGAAAAAAGGAGCATTTATTTCTTTCCCTCAGACCTGGCTTCAGGGAAAATGTTCTTCAAGTCACTTCCCTGAAATAGACCAAAGATTTAGAAGAGACACATGAAGAAGCTCAACAAGGAACCAACATCAAGAAAAGATAAACAGAAACTTTTAAAAAGATAAAAAGACAGGTCAAACTTTATAGAAAAAAGGACTACAGCTCCATAGAGTGCCAACAGAAATATAAACAGAGATTAAAACAGCAAAAATTTAAACATCAGTAATATATATGAGGTATAAAATAAAAAATGAAAACACAGTGAAACTGGACTTCGACGAATACAGCATAATAAACTTACAGAACAGTCAATTAAATAGAAAGGTTTTATTTAAAGTAATTTCTGCATTAGTAGAAGGCTTTTGTAATTTACAATTGCTTTTGTATTTGCAGGCTTTCCTTTTGGAAAGTCAACTCTCCTGCCCCCTTCTCTGCAAGTCACTAAGAGAGAGATTTAAAACAAAACAAATATCCCAACCACCCAAATTTTCAGGGATTTGTCTCTATGAAGTCTGAGTCGATCTGGTTATTGATGGTTCAAAAACAGAACCCACAAGTCATTGCCACCATCTTGACATTTTTGATCCCTTGTGGACACTCCTGCTCCAATTTCTGGCCTTAAAGTGCCCTCGTATATTGTAATTAAGAGAAAAATGAAGGCATGGGGGGAACTTAGACTTATATCCCAGGGATCATGGGGACAGGTGATGATAGTCAATACTAGCAAAAATAAACACATGTCATGTGGGGAAGGCACTGTAATGTGGTAAGCAGTATCTGGGTGACCTTAACGGCTAATATAGGAACAGGCTTGATTAATATTTGGATAAAAAACTATTGGAGAATTCTAGGATTATAAGATAAAGAGAGAAGTTTAAAAAAAAATCCAGAAGGAAGCAGCAATTTCAATTATGTATTTGCCAAGAACACTGCATAGATGTGGCCATGTAATCACAAAGAGTCAATACTCTCTATATTTTATTAGTTCTAAAACAGGTTTTTTGTCATAAAATATTAGCAAGCTTATAAAAGCTTATTTACTGTGCTGAATTTCTTCTAACTAAACACAAATACTGTATAAATTAACAGACATTTTTGCTTGTTTAGTCATAAAAATAATGCACTGCTTTTGAATGCACTTTTAAATGACTTAATTCCCACCAGTAAAACCTGTTTTCCAACATCAAGAGAGGTGAATAGAATGCACTGACCTAAAATATTGACTAATTCAGCAAGAAGGAAATACTGAAATGTAAAAAACAACATCAACATTTCTTTAAGACAAAGTAAAGGAGGGGGGTGAGTTTTTAAAATCTAGAAATCATATCCTTTATAAGCAATTGTAACATCATCTTTACAGAAACTAAAAAAATTTTTTTTTTCACAAATCAAGATAGCAATCTTGCTCATTTATTCTTCTTTCTCAATCTACTATATAGTATCACCTTTTCTGTTTCCAAATAAGAATTTCCTATTTTGTTCTACAGAAAGTCTTCAAATTACAACTGCAGTTGGAACCTAATCAGTCAGTGGGGAAGCTGGAAGGAAGTTGCAAGTCTCGGCTTGACAGGCAGGCAGGCAGGCATGCAGGCAGGAAAGTGGCTGTTGCCAGATGGGACACAGAACAAGGGGACAGAGGGAAGGCCAGGAAGGATTGTGTGAGGATTCAAGGGAGTGGTGAGAGGCATAGATCAAGGAGGTTTGAGGGAGTGCATGAGGGTGGAGCGGAGGCATGGGTTCAGGGAGGGTCCAGAAAAAGTCTCACCCAGATCTGAAAGAATGCACAGGTGGCTGGTACAGGCGGAGTCAGATTGCACAGATGGGGGAAACATATTCCAGCAATTTGCTGCCTTCCCTATTGGCTTCCCTACTGACTTCCTGGGGAAGCTAGCAAGGAAGGTTGCAAAGAGTGATCATGTGATCACAGGAAATATAACCGGTCAGAAGTGTGAATGAATTGTCATGATCATGTGACCACAGGGATGGTGGGGCAGGTGGAATTCCAAGGAGTGGTTGTAACTACTTTCATTTAGTAGGGTCATAACATTGAATGCTCACTGAATGACTGATCGTAGGTCAAGGTCCACCTGTATCCCTAATTTGTTAAGGAGAAAATTTAGGGAGCACTTTTGGAAAGATGATGCAAGAAACCTTCCACTGGAAACAGCTTTACTCTCTGAATCAACTTTTTAAAAAAGTAGCTGTAACAGTAGATTTTTTTAAAATCAGGAATCAGAATGTTAAAAGTTTGCAGCAAAAAAAATATATTAAAATTTTCCTCCCTGTACTCCCTACTATGTTATTTTATGAAAGCAGTATTATATTTTATTTTGATAGTTATTGGAAAACTACCACCATTTGAAAGCTTTAGAGCAACAGTTACTAACATATGTGGAGGGAATTATTTCCAGTGCGATAGCGCAGTCTATATCACTCTGAACACATAACCAATACGGAATCTTATCGCCTCAAGTTGGAGGCATACAATTCTTATAAAGAATACTTTTAGGAAAAGGTATGAATAAAATTATAATTTTATTCCAGGCTTCTATAATTGCTTTAGGACTAATATATTGGATTATTGTACATTGCTCCTTTTGTTATTGTTGTCTCTAGAGCAATGGTTGTTTTTAGTTTTAATTAATTGTTTTCTATATAGTGATGTTCTGCTGTTATTTTTTACAACATTCTGGGAATTTCTAAGAACGAATACCGGAATACATGTTTGAATAAATGCAAACAAAAATATTTGACTTGATATATCCCCAAATGTAAATCTCAAAGTTTTGGAGTTTGAAATGAGAGAATTTCCTCTTTGGCCTCCGTTTGTTCACTCATTAAACCATATACTATTTTGAAAGAAGAAATATTTTAGTATTACAAGTTTTACTAATAGGGCAATGTTAATTTTTTAGTGTTTGCTATCTGCTATGGCTTCTATATATTTAACCTATGAGATCCTTTCCCCCCCTCTCATTCAGCAACCATCAAATAAGTTGGCAGCCTTAGTGAATAAACTGTTAAAAATTAGGAAATTTAAAAATATTCAACCTGATAATCCATGGATGAAAGAATGAAAATAAATGAGATAGATAAACTGTCTCTATATTACCATAAGAACATCAGGGAAATGTTATGAATAACTGAGGATGCCTAATTAAATCTTGGCCAATTGACAATGTACAGTTAAGTCAATCAAATGATTAAAACAACATTAATTACTGTTTTCCATGAATCAATTTGCCCTCTTGGTGACTTTTTTTTTCCTTCTGAATTCATCTGCTCTAATCTATGGGATTTCTTCTTTGTCTCTCATCCATATACTGTCCAAGTCAAAAACTACTCAGTTGAAGTTATGGATTTCATTTCCTTCAATTTTATGTTCTTTTTAAAAAAATATAATCATAGTTTTGTGTGTAATTTCCCATATTTATGTATCTGTAGTCGTAAGTACATACTTTGGGCAGCTCTATAAAACTTTTAAATAAGCTTAGCCAGATCTGCCTTTTTTCTTTCTTTCTTTCTTTTTTTTTTTTTTTGAGGCATGGATCAGCAAACACTTACAGAAAAAAAGAAATTAATTCTACTTAAAGATTAGTGACAATGCATGAATATGTAACTACAAGGGGGAAAGATCCCCTTACACAGGGGAGAAAAACACTGGATTAATCCAGTTTGTTGACTACAAATGGTTAGCCTTACAAACATTATTGAAAAACTGGCTCCTCTTCGTTATCTAAATGATAGATATATAAATATATATCTATATCTATCTATAGATATGTATCTTTGTAGATATAAATGATATATGGTAGGTTAGATAAACAGACAGAAAGACACACAGATGGTAGATAGTAGATAGATGGATCGATGATAGATGGTAGATGGATGGATGGATGGACAGACAGAGACAGACAGAAGGTGGAAGGATGGATGGAGATAGATAGATAGATAGATAGATAGATAGATAGATAGATAGATAGATAGA